CTTTCCACTTCTCAGCAGTACCCCTTTTTTCCAGCAGTCACGGGGATGCCAGAATCCTTAGAGAATCTCACCTTTCATTTCTCTCTCACCAAAATACAATCCCATCAGGCTCCCTGCTGGTCCCTTCCCTGACCTCCTAAATAACTGTTCTAGATGGCTCTACAGGACACAATGTGCCCAGCTGTTGGAAGGATTCCAAACCCAGATAAGTCAGTAACCAAAATGCCCAGTAGCAAAGTCAACTGCATCCTCTACAAATTTAAAATGAGACAGTCCTGTGTTTTCCTTCCTAATGCGTGCTGGCTTAAAAAGGAACTTCAGATCTAGATTTGAATGAGCGGTGGAACACATTTGGCCAAGACACCTCGCATGTCAGAGCCTTACAGAGCCCTGGATAAAATAAAGACAAAGCGTTATTCCATGGGCTCTTTCCTCAGTGCACGCATGCTAGATGTGGTCAATGAATGCTTGTTTTCTTCTTGCCTAAATTAAAACTGTGTTGCTATTAGGAGAAGGTGACTCTTTAGGGCGTTTGTCCCCAACTCTGCTGTTTGTTTGGGTCATGTTGGTACACAAGTCACTAAGAAATGGACTTGGAACGGCAGAGGGCCTCTGATTGATGAGAGAAAACCCCAATTTATCCCAACTCAATTCTGTTAGGAAAAGGCATCTCGGGTAGCCAAATTGCCATTGCACTGAACAGAGTGCCAGAAGAGAAATGAGGTTGCAAAGCATGAGAGAGGATGCAACTTTCCTTTTGTAGCCAGCACTCATTTTAGGCCATCGTTCTCCACTGCCTTGAATCAGGAAGCATGTTTTCTAGCAAAGTGTATGCAGCCTCGAGTGTTAGAGGAAGGGAGCTTCCAGAAGTTAGGAGTCCTGTCATTGACAGATAAGAAAACTTAGCATATCTTGAACATGTATTAGGAGATATTATCTTGACATATGACCATGTATGTCCTCAGGACAGCATAGTGCCACTATAGGCTGCATGTCCTCAAGAAATTAATGAAGTAATGAGCCATGAGTTCTGCCCAAGGTAACAAGGTAGTAGCTATAGAAACTAACTATAGTTCCTAAACATTGATTTCTTGTGACTATTCTTATATGAGACCATGACATGACTGAACATACTTAGAAAAGCTCCAGCAGTTATCTGCAAATGACTGATTTAAGCCCAGGTTCAGAATACAAATAGAACAGTCTATGACCACACATAAAGGATGCTTCCTGTTAACGCCTTGCATAACCTCTTACAAGATCTCACTCTTCAATGGTGTTCTCTTTCAGAACGAAGGTGTACATAGAGGCATGAGGCAGGATTCTATCAAATGCCCAGTGCAGTACTAAATGGTATGCAATGAACAAGTAAAGATGTGTTCACTTACTCTTGAGGGACAAGAAAAAAAAGTTATTACTTATACAACTGTGATCAGTGATGGCCAGAGAGTAGAAAGGTCTAGGGTCCACTTCTAAGTAGACTTACTTGCCAATCATGAAGACTAATTAAAAAGACTTTCAGATACTGCTCAACATTCCTCGATGTAGGCTATGATCTCAAGAATAAAATGCAGAAAATTATTTGGGTGCCTGTCTTCTCAACTCTTCCAAGGAAGGGTACATGGCTTCAGGTCTCCAAATTTCTTAAGAGTAAAAGGGAACATCTTACCCCATACAGGTTATGGATCTTTATGATTTAATCTCTTACAAAGTCCCCATTGAGAAGCATCCACAGTCACCCAGTATATGATGAAAATATCACCATCATAGCAACACACACTTTTAAAGACAGGCATCCTCTCTGTATGAGTTCTTGGTGATGAAATTGCTGGGCTGCCTCTAAAACATGTCAGAAGAAGAAGTACATTTGTATTCTTGTTATGAAAAAAGCAATATTTGTTCTATTTGGAAAACACACAAGAATGATCAGGAGGTATTTGTAGATACGCAGACTGTAACTTTAATAAGAAGAGACTACGGACATGTTTGTAATGAAGAATATTAAATGGATTTTGTAGGCAAGTTAGACCAAAATACATGTCTCTAAAGTACTTGAAAAATTATCTTCAAACTTTCAGTTAATCAACAAATAGTTGTGTGCCATCATCCTCTTAGATGCCTTGGGGGATGTGAAAATTAAAACATATTTTGCATATTTTGCCAACAGATGGTTGATTTTCTTCCTCTTCTTACACTGATCTAAATAAAAAGTGAGTGATTTATCCCATATTATGTATTGATCACTAGTTTACAACTAGAAGCATATAGTTGGTAAGAGGGAACTTATAGGAAGAGATAAGACAGCTAGCTAAGGAATCCATACTTCAAGAAAGCCTGGTAGAAGCTGGGCAGTGAGGCTGGTGCTTCACATGTATGATCTAAAGCAGTCCCCCTGAAGTCAGCAGTGTTATTATTTCCTCTTTGCAAATTAAGAGAATTGGGTTTCAACAGCCATGAACTGAACTGCAATTCCTCCCTTGATGTATGTTGTTGGGGATGCTCCAGGACCCCGAAAAGCTTCCTCCAAAGAAGAGAGAAATACAGGGGAATTTTACTCATTTTTCAGATTTATATTCTGTTCAGCAGAATTTATATATATTGTTCAGCAGACAAGGTCCCTGCCAAAATATGGCAACGTATAACTTGTTACATGTGAGAACAAAAGAAAAGGTGATTTGGATAATGAAGAAATCAAAATCTGCAGATGTATAGAATTCCCTAAGTACTCCTGGGCTATATTTCCTAGGAGAAGGTTGTCCCACACCCAAAGACTGAAGCACCAGTGGACATAGGATTCCATAAGGAAGGAAAGAGATGTGACGGTCACAGGAAGACTGTGTAATTGCCTTTTATTTTGTGATGTGGTACTCAGCTGAATTCACAATTATCTTTATTCCTTTTTTATTCCTCTTGAAATTTTTACTTTTACTAGTAGTCTTTAAGAAGATTCAGAACTTAAAGTGGAGGGGGAGGGGAAGGGAGATAGCACAAATGACTATCACATATTGTTTAACCTCCAGAACTCCATGTTCCTCTCCCTCTTATAGAGCCGCCCCTCTGCATCCCCTCGGCATTGAGTCCTCAGGACCTGCCACTGAAATCCAGCACCGTAACTAAAGCATTTGCCTTTGCCCAGTGTGCACTGGAGAGGCACTTTCAGAACAGGGGAAAAGTCTTTCTGCTAAACCTTCCAGCAACGCATTAATATTTATTAGCATGCACTCCCCTGTAGGATGAATGTTTTATGATCAAATATGAGTGGCAACAAATGGAAATTTCAACCACAAGCCACCCACTCTCCCAGTGCTGCAGCGTGCAGGACTAGCTTCCCAATGCAGGCTTCATTCCGGAAGAATCCCACTCACTGCTGTGGACAAGACAGCAATTGACTACCTCCCATAAGGCTTTTCGAGGCCACAATCAAGGTTATCAGCTTTAAAAATCAACAAGGAGCAATTAAAATGAAACTGGGAACTGGCATTATATTAATGCTATGTTAAAATCTAGGACACATATAACAGGACTGGAGACCATTTCATAATAATAGACGCATTTTAAATTTAAATCAGATCAGCTCCCTGACAATTCTGAAAAGAGGAGATCCATTGCCTTCCCAGGTTTGAACAAAAGCATGACTGTCTCGGGTTTGCCTATTCATTCCGTTTATTGAGTACATTTCATCTTCCGGGCCCATTGCACTGTAGGTTTTGAATCAAGATCGAGGTCTAAAAAATGACTTACATGAGCTCTTTGCTATTGAAAACTGCCCTCACTAAATCACTCTGTAATGCCTTTAACACACGACTCAATCTTATGCCAGCATTGTATACTGAGTTATTACATGCCGGAAGAAGCAAGTACATGTCCTCTGTATAATTAATGGATGCACTGCACAAAGACCCAAAAATCAGAGCCCAGTAGCATCTATTCCTGTTCTGTCAATTTCAGTGATTTTGTGCAGATGTAACCATGCTGAGACTGTGCAACAGAGAGCCTATTGAACGGCCTCTTTTCTCCCTCTCCAGCTGAAGCTCTAACCTAAATATTTTAGCAATCGTTTGCCAATACAATGTATGTCTGATTTGCTCTAAGCAGCATGGGGAAAAAAATCATAAACTCAGAGTTTTGAATCAGGCATTGAATGTAAAGTCTGATTATTTGTCTAAATTTTTGGGTAACTCATATATCTACTTCTTTACTTTCGCATCTACAAAATAAATATCACGTGTCCGGTAGATCCTATATAAAAAGCAACAGGTTGAAATAGATATGACTTTTGATAGCAAAGATGTCAAAGCCTGTGTTGAAATTACTCTAATTTACAGAGTACAATTCATTTTGAAATTAAAATAAAAGTAGGAGAGAGAGAGAGAGAGAGAGAGAGAGAGAGAGAGAGAGAGAGAGAACAGAATAGAGATGAACTTTTAGGCCTGATTCAATTTCATCTCTTGAGAGGGTTATTTTACAGTCAAGCTCTTTTGTACTTAAGGAGTGTTATTAAGGATATTGTTGATTTTAAATAACAGAGTTTCTGGTTGCTAAGTGAGATTGAACAACAACAAAACAAACAAACACAACAACAGCAAAATACTGCCCCTTCCCCAACTCCTGAAACTGACTCCATTCTCCATAATAATGACTTCTACCTATTAAATAAAGGACATGACAGAAGGAGGGAAGAAAGAAATACATGAGTTAAATTTAGAAAGGATGTTTGGCTCAGGAGCAAGATGTCAATTTTGAATGAAACAGTCGTCAGAGCATGACTCTAACACAGTGAAGGCTCAAACTATAGATCTGGTAAGAAACACTTCTCTAGGAACAGTCTTCCTTCTAATGGGATTTTTACCATTAATCCCTCTTCTATTCTAGCTCCAGAGAGAGGGTGTCAGCTGCACCTCACTGTACCAGAGGACCATTGAGCTTTCTTTCAATCTCTCTCATCCTCTGTCTCACATCTTTTCTCCTCTCTGACATGGGCTTCGTTTTGCTACCTGCAGGTTGTCCGGCCATACCAGACCATGTCCAACCCCATGAGCAAGCTCACCGTCCTCAACAGCATGCATTCCCACTTCATCCTGGCTGACAATGGGACCACGGGAAAATATGGAGCAGAGGTGAAACTCCGCAGACAACTGGAAAAGCACATCTCACTCCAGAAGATAAACACAAGTAAGCAAGCCTCTCTTTCCACCCCCATGCCACCTAGGGAATACGCTAAGTAATGAAGCATCCTGTGCAGCGATGCTATGGAAATTCAAGGAAACAGCAATGCACCAGCCATGGTTCTTCCTGAGCCAGTGTACTGAGTGAAGGAACTTATCCAAGAGAAAACAAGTAGAAGCATGAGAACATTAACACAATGACTGGGCTCAAGCTCAGGATTTTACACATCCAAAAGTCAGCCCCATCTGGGGTTCAGGAATGCAGATAAGCCTTCTCTCAAACTTTTCTGACATCCTTTTCACAGTACCCAGAGAAGAAGGGCACCCTAGAGAAATGGCTGCTATTTATTAAGTTCTCTTTTTTTTTGTGACTGAAAAAGGCAAAAACAAATCAGGCTTTGATCTTAGCACAGAGGAGTCTCAGGAGGATTGAATGTTTTTCTAAACTAAAGCATCCTGAGCAGACATCTTGCTCAAACTTGACCACTGTTTCTATATTTCTGTGTGTATACATTCGCTGTCTCCTGCTAGGCGTGCACTTTGATGAATGGGAGCACTTGTGTGAGCCACATGCTACATATCTGATGGCTGTGGTCATTTCTCCTAAGGACTGGGGAGCTCTGTACTGAAGTTGTCACAAAACATTTGGCTGTGAAAAGAAAGGATGCTCCCCCATCGGGATCACCTACTAAAGTTTCTCTCAGAAGAAAAATCTTCTGTTTTCACAAAGTGACATGCGAGGCTTCAAAGACTGGGCATTTCAGACTGTGTAATTGTCTATATCACAGAAGCTTAGATATGGTTGATTACAATTCCAAAACCTGTGATTCCAAGAAACACTAGATTCTCTTCAGCTGCTGTTCAAAAGTTCAGTGCCATGTGGTTCAACTGGTCCAAATCCCATCTCTCTTCTCTGCCTTTGCCCCAAAAGGATCCTACTTCCTATAGCCACCTTCCTCACTGAGCTGAGATGTCAGGTCTTGTAGTAGTAAGGGCGGCAGGGCTGCGTTCCCAGCACCCCAGCCGCCTGCTCGGCTAGCTTATGCCCCAAAATAATTACACAGACACTGTATTCTTTTAATCACTGCTTGGCCCATTCTCTTCTAGGCTAATTCTCACATATTAATTTAACCCATTTCTAATCATCTGTGTATGGCACCCCAAGGTGCGCTTACCGGGGAGATTCTAGCCTAGTCCATCCTGGGTCGGAGCTTCATGGCGTGAGTCTGCCCGGGAGCGGGGCATGGCGTCTCTGCTGAGGCATCTGCTCCGGAGAGCAGAGCTGTGGAGTCTCTGAGCTCACTTCCTCTTCCTCCCAGCGTTCTGTTCTGTTTACCTCACCTACCTAACCTCTAACCAATAAAATGGGCCAGGGCAGTTCCTTTATTAGCCAATGACCTTCCTCCATCATTTCCCCTTTTTCGGTTTAAACAAAAAAAAAGGCTTTAATATAGCAAAATTACATATAACAAAACAGTTATCAAGTAAAAGTTGCAATAATCTTTATCATAACTAAGGAAAACTATAACTATAACTATTCTTAACTCCATCAAAGACTCCAGAAAGATACAATACTACTTAAGCAAACAAGAAAAAAGCAACTTTTAAAACTCTAGAAATGACAGAGACATCTCGCTGCCTGGACAGTCACCCAAAGTTCTTTTGTACCGTTGGGGCATCCATCTTCAGCCTTCAGGCCCATGGTATCCAGCAGACATTTCCATAAAGCAGGAAAATTCAAAGTCAGTTCAGTCACTATCTGTTGTGTCCTACAGCATGTCTCGCAGACTCTTTCATGAACCAGGAACCCCGAAAGATCATCTCACCTTAGGCAAGTTCAGTAGTCCTCTCTCTGCGGGTTCTCTGTGTCCAGTTTATGCAATAGTCCAGGCAAGAGCAGTTTCTTGCCCAAATAGCTATCAAACTCCATAAGGTGCCTCTTCAATGCCCATCTTCCTCTTGAAGTAGATTGGTGCTGCCAGGAGCAGAGTGTCTCATTGTCATGAAAAGTCCTCAGTTATTAAAACATTTAAAATGTCCTATTCTGTAATCTTTGAAAGACATGAAGAATGTCTATCTAAAATATATCTCTATATATCTAGAAAATCTAACTAACATGACTACAAGCTTTACTATTATCGATGATTATCCATTAACAACCTATATTTCTTAATTATACAGTACATAATTAAATGAACTACACAATCACAATACCTTAATCAAAATCAGAAACACTTATACATATAACAAAATTGACCTTAAATCTCTTATCAATAAAGTAAAATCTATACTAATGTAAATTATTCATATCTATATCATATCCCCCTTTAAATGTAAAAGGATGTTTATAAACCATATTTGGGAACATGGGCGCAGTTTTTTCTCTCCAAACTGCTTCCTGCTGAATGGGGGCGTCGTTAATTAGGTCTTTCATGGTATAACCTGTGTGCTCAGTTGGCAGTAGAGCGAAGCAATTTTCTGAAGATGTTCACTGCAACCCTTCAGGAGGGCGTGGTCCATCATACCAAATCAGAATAGAGGAAATGAACAAAGTCTCATCCTCTGTGAAAACAAAATAAGAAACTCCTTTCCAAAGTATCATATCCTTAGATCCAAATTCATAATATCTGTGTTGGATTAGTTCAGCAGTATTTATAAATAAATATCTTTTAGCATCTGTTTCTCCTTCCTCAGCATTTAAACAATTCAAAGAGAGCATAATAGCATACAGTATCAAAATTCTCTGTGTATTTTCCATCTTTGTGCAGCTGTGTTTTAACCTCTATTTTGTTTATTTTTACTTTTAACTCTTTGTTTTTTGAGACAGGTTCTCTGTATCTTTGACCTGAAGTAACTCTGTAGACCAGGCTGTCTTTGAACTCTCAGAGATCCGCCTGTCTCTGCCTCCCAGGCATTCGGGATTAAAGGTGTATGCTACTACACCTTGAACTCACAGAGAACTGTTTGCCTCTGCCTTCTAGGCACTGGGATTAAAGGCGTGTGCTACTACACACAACAACTCTCTTCCTTTTTTTGTTTTTTACTTTAAGAACTTAAACTTTTAGTCTGCATATATTTTTAACACAATTTAAACCGTTTACAATTTTTTTTCTGTCTTTGAATCTCTCTTTACTGTATATCTCTCTTTTTCTGACCACATGAATCTTTAATTTACCAAGCTATCTCAGTAGGACTAAAGGCGTGGCTTTGCCAGCTAGATCCAGTCCATTCCTTAGCTTTCCAGCCTCATGGCTGAGGTACTGGCTGTAGCCAGCAAGCGAGCTTCAGCAGCCTATGCTTGCAAACCGCACAAACCGCCTGCGTAAAAGAGTCAGAGTTTGTCGTGGCAGGACAGCCCAGAAAGCCGGCATTTTTAAACGGCGCAGCTTTTTTCCTGTTACGGCTGAAAACCGAAAAGCATGTGCTCAGCTTTTCATCAACACCGTTTAAGTGTTTCGTGGCAGGACCTCTTAATGAGCTGCAGGGTTTTGCAGCTAAAGCTGAGTCAGGAAGCTTCTCTTAGAAGAAAGTGCATGCTTGCCTCTAACAAGCAGAGCAGACCCGAGAACACAGCGAGTCTAGTTGCCATCAAACAAATCGTAGCACTTTACTCCAAATGCTCTATTGAAAAGATCTGTCTCCTGCAGGAGCCACACAGATCACAGCCCAAGAAAGTCACACTTTAAAATGACACAGCGTTTTTTTTTTTCTGCTACTGTTGCAGAATCAGGAAATCTCTCTACAGCACGCCACCAACAAAGAGCAAAAATCTGTGTTAAATTCTCTCTCCCTTATTTTTAAGCCTTCTCAGGTTTTTTAAGTGGGTTTTGGCTGTCCACACGTCTGGGCGCCAACTGTAGTAGTAAGGGCGGCAGGGCTGCGTTCCTAGCACCCCAGCCGCCTGCTCGGCTAGCTTATGCCCCAAAATAATTACACAGACACTGTATTCTTTTAATCACTGCTTGACCCATTCTCTTCTAGGCTAATTCTCACATATTAATTTAACCCATTTCTAATCATCTGTGTATGGCACCCCAAGGTGCGCTTACCGGGGAGATTCTAGCCTAGTCCATCCTGGGTCGGAGCTTCATGGCATGTGTCTGCCCGGGAGCGGGGCATGGCGTCTCTGCTGAGGCATCTGCTCCGGAGAGCAGAGCTGTGGAGTCTCTGAGCTCACTTCCTCTTCCTCCCAGCGTTCTGTTCTGTTTACCCCACCTACCTAACCTCTAACCAATAAAATGGGCCAGGGCAGTTCCTTTATTAGCCAATGACCTTCCTCCATCAAGGTCTCTCTGGCCTTGACTTTTCTCCCTAGGCCCCCCTCTCTCATTGTCCCTCCTGCTACTAACTTAACCAAGCTTTATACTTTTATTCTATTCAGAGTGAAATCTCAAATAATAAATTTGGCTCATCTGAAATAAAAATTATGTTAGGAAACTCCTTTCTTAAATCTTTGCAGCTGGAACCCAAGGGGAGTCTCGGGGGGGGGGGGGGGGAGCTACATCAGTCAGGCGGTAAGCTTTGGTGAAAACACTTCATCTGGGAATTCGAGAGAATGAATGGGGAGATGCTATATAATTAGTACTATTTTAATCTATTTTAGGCAACAGTGGTAATTTTTCTGCTGCTTTTGGGTTAGGTATGAGAGTTTAATGAGAAATGAGCCAGAAACTGAAAGACAGGGGAACAATAAGGACACAAGAAAAAAACTCAAGGTTAAGTTGAGTACAGGTCAATGAGAAACACTTGCTAGACCAGCAAAGCCCATCCCTGTGCAGGTCCTGGTGGCTCCTGAACCAGCCGTGTTGTAATGTATAAAGTGAGGTGGATGTGTGGTTAGGTTAGTTAGATACCAGCTGAGGATACGCAAGCCAGAGTTAGACAGGCCAGGGCTGTTAGCTGAGCCTTAGGCTTGACAGCTGCCCCGACAATAGGGTGCCTTCTCTTCATTCCAAAGAGGCACCTTTTGGTATATAATTTATGTATCTGGAAGGATGTCTTTCTCCA